CACACCTAAAATTAGAAAGAACAGAAAAATCAGCAGTCGTACATCATATTTTGAAACAAAACCATTTCTTAGACTGTAGTTCATTAAATTAGTTACACAAGTTAACAACAACAGACATCTAGATGCCTACGAGAGTGTAAAAATAAGTAAACATAGTAATATTATGAATAACGATGGTGGACCAACACCCAATAGTATACTATATCGCTTGTTATAATAATATTTTATTTATCAGATTTACCTAACTATTACATAAGGACACATTGTAAATAAAGACTAGTAAATAAGGCAACATTGTGAAATCAATTTAAGACACTTAAGACCCAGGTAACTAGTAGAGGAATCTGTGATATAAATAAGGATAACATTGTACGTATATTTAGTTCAATCTTCCTCTTGAAGATGATCACTTGGTGATCATCTTCAAGATGAAGATGAAGATTGATCACTTGATGATCATCTTCGAGAGGTGATCACGGTTTTATGTTGGGATGAGTCTCCAGTAATATTCATTACTACACCAAAGGTTCCAAGCAGTGCATCACAAGTATAGTCAATGCAAGACAAAATGGTTTCAATATCTCAAATGTGCCGTCATACGTTGAAGTGATTTAAATTTTTTAGAATTTTATGAGCCCTTCTTGCAATAAATCACTATTATTCTTTCCAAAGTATGTAATCAATTCATTCTATAATATGTGTTAATATTATCATGACTCCACCAATATCAATTTCTAAACACCCAAACTCTGAAGCAGTTTTCATTATGACCTAGTTTCATGGAATTAAACGTCGATTACTTATTTAATGACATAAATTAACTCACTTACTGGCACTTTCAACATATTTGTTCAGAAAATTCTCAACTGTTATTGTTATTCAATGTATCATTGTTCTGTCAAGACCTCCACTACTTCATATTCACATAAGTGAGATGATATAGACGAAACACAGTTTGGTAATATTTTCTAAGTGAATCAGCTGTCGCCCCCATAAGAACGACAACTCTCAGAAGTTGAGAAACTTGTGCGAGCTAAGAACCAACGAGGTCTTACCTTTCAACGTGAGATTCTTAACACGGTTGCAGAATAATTCCAGCTTTAACCAGGTAAATTCTCTTGAGAAAAATATCTAGTCGAGGCAGGAATCGAACCAACGGTCTTCCAATCGTGATTCGAGCGCACTACCACCGCGGCCAATTCCACAACAACCTGCCCCAAAAAATAAACCTTAACTGTTAACATTATTCTCAAATGATACAGCAACTTAAGATAGAAACCCAGATGGAAGTATGTCACGCTAGAAGATTCAATTTCTGACATTTATGAATAATTCATGTCAATTTATGCAGAACAATTCTTAGTTGTTACTGCATTATACCGTTTGCAAGATAACCAAATTTGTTTTCGAAAAAAATACATACAGATGAGAACTATCATTCAATATAGTATTCTTGTTCATCTTGTTTCACTGTTTCTCAAACAAATGTTTTTCTGCATTTTTTTTTTTTGAAAGTGTGAATTGATGTAGGGAAATTAGGAATATTCAGGCGATTGCCGTGAAGAGATATCTGGTAGATATCTAGTATTTATAATATAACGTTTGAATATATAAAATCCATGATCTACACATATGTGTAGATCATGTGGCTGAATGGTACTTCTTTGCAAGATAAAAAGAAGTACCATTCAGCCACAATCTGGAAGAAAATAGCCCTCTCGAAACAACTGTTTTCATATAAACATTGAATTACACGAAGGAAAAATACTTTCGAAACAAATACTTTTCTATGAACACTGAATTATACGAAAAACACTCTTCACTACTCAGTTTGTATTCCAAACATTCGTTATAGAATTGAATCAGATTTCATTCACAGGATTCCTACATAATATAGTAAATGAAAGAACCAGGTAAAATTTCACTTACTATTAGGAACACTGTCATCCTCACTGGCAGACAGACGATATTTCGCCGTAAGACACTTGCCTCATCAGCTCTCCAGTACCAAATATTGGTAATATCATCAGAAAAAAATTTGCAAGATAGACATTTCAAATAAAATCTACTTACACTTTATAAACTGTTCGAAATGTCGTCCATTTTGCTCAGTAATAAACTTCACTAGGAATTGACTAGCATATGCCTCCAAAGAAAGAAATCTGAGGGTTTCAAATCCGGTGATCTCGACCATCATTCAACTACCCACTTTCTGCCTATCCATCTATTCGGCAATCTCTCGTTTAGACGGAAATAAAATAATGAGGTGCACTTTCCAACTTCTCTATAAATTACAATCATTTCAATTCGGTCTTGAAGAATGTAAACCATTTTTACACTTTTATACACTACCCACATGTACAACTGTATGCACAATACTACCACATCGTTCAAATTTGCGAACCTATTTTTTGTTTGAAAACAGAAACTTTTTACAGCAGAAGTAGCAAGAAATGACGGCTGTACACATTTTGCGATGGAAATTAAAAATTCAGCATTTACTTAACACAACTTTATTACCATCTACGTTTTACTAATAGACTACTTTTTGATGTAAATTAATTGGATCTAATGACTTACGTTACCCCTAATAATAGGCAAGAGGTATTAGACTTAACCATCAGCTCACATTCTCTGAACAACAAGATACACCATTGGTTTGTGTCTACTGAACCTTCTTCTTCAAACCATAGATATATTCTTTTCAATATTGAAACAGGTCTAAGACCAAAACGGACTGGAAATAATTTAACATATTCTCTCATAATATGCCATAATATATCCAAAATTACTAGAGTTTTATCCCAAACCAAACGTTATTTCAACACATTAACACGTGTTTCCATCACCAAGAAGATTGAACTAAATATACGTACGTAAATATACGTAATGATACATCTGCTAGGTACCTGCGTCTTAAATGTCTTAGATGATCTTCACAATGTTGCCTCATTTACTAGTCTCAAATTAATTTTACAATGTGTACTTATGTAATAGTCAGGTAAATCTGGTAAAGGTAAAGCATTATTTCAACAAGCTATATAGTATGCTATCAGCTATTAGGTATTGGTCCACCATCGTTATTCATAATATTATTATATTTACTCATTTTTACACCCTCGTAGGCATCTAGATGCCTTTTGTTGTTAACTTGTCTATACATTCTCAATGAACTCAAGTCTACGGAATGGTTTTGTTGCAAAATATGATGGGCGACTGCTGATTTTTCTGGTCTTCCATATTTCAAGTGTGCTAAGTGTTCCTTATATAAGAATTTTCGATTTTGACCTTTGGATTTCCTAAAAGGCTCTATAGTGAATGACTTGTTTTAAATACCACCTTCATACCTATTTCCTTGAAATCTTTTCAAAGTTCTTCGTGTATTAGTGGTATGGAACTGAGATGTATTTATCTTGGTTTTCGTCGTTTCTGAAAGTTCCATATCACCAATACACAAAGAACTTTCGAAAAATGTTCAGGGAATTTGGTATTTTAAACAAGTCATTTACTACAGAGCCTTTCGAGAAATCCAAAAGACGGAATTGAATGCAAGGATTGCGATGCAAAATATTATGGACAGGCAAAAAGATCTATTGAAATAAATCACTATTATTCTTTCCAAAGTATGTAATCAATTTATTCTATAATATGTGTTGATATTATCATGACTCCACCAATATCAATTTCCAAACACACAAACTCTTAAACAGTTTTCATTATGACCTAGTTTCATGGAATTAAACGTCGATTACATATATAATGACATAAATTAACTCACTTACTGGCACTTTCAACATATTTGTTCAGAAAATTCTCAACTGTTATTGTTATTCAATGTATCATTCATTGTTCTTTCAAGACCTCCACTACTACCTATTCACATAAGTGTGATGATATAGACGAAACACATTTTGGTAATATTCCCAGGTAATCATCCCAGCTTTAACCAGATAAATTATCTCGAGAAAAATATTTGGTCGAGGCAGGAATCGAACCCACGGTCTTCCGATCGTGATTCGGGCGCACTACCACCGCGGCCANTTAATTTTTATTTATTCAATTATTATATTTTTACTTGTAGGTTATTTCACTATCATTTCATTTCAGGTTTATTGTTGCTTAATATAATTGTTATTTTCAACTATTCTTTTTAATTATTCTTTTTTACTTGTTTCAGGGATTTCAATTCATTTTATATAGTAGACAATGGAAGTCCGAACCAGTGAAATTCATCACGAAACATTGTCAATCACCTTCAAACAAATTAGGAACACTGTCATCCTCACTGGCAGACACCCGATATTTCGCCGTAAGACACTTGCCTCATCAGCTCTCCAGTACCAAATATTGGTAATATTATCAGAAAAAACACAATTCAAAATATTGCCCTTTCAATTTGATCAAAATTCCTATGGCTGGGATTTAACGAAATAAACGAATGGATGTTATTACTTACTGTCATCGATGCCATAAGTAGATCGAACTCATTCCGTGACATGAAGTCGTAATTTTATGAAGAAATTGAGTGTTTATTTATTATAATGTTATTTGGTACAGAGGAGCTGATAAGGCAAGTGTCTTACTGCGAAACATCGGATGTCTTCCAGTGAGGATGACAGTGTGCTTCAAGTAAGTGAAATTTTACGTCTTCCATTAACTATATTGTGTAGGAATTCCATGAATGATATCTGATTCAATGCCATAACGAATGTTTGGAATACAAACTGAAGAGAGAAAAGTGTTTTTGTATTAACGTATATGTATTAACGACATCAACAGTCAGAAGATTCGTCCTATGTAATTCTTAGCAATTTTGCACCACTAATGAGACTTACGGCAGGTCTAATCATTGGTGAATCACGAACGCTTAATTTTTGGCTCTGAATCAGACTGAATGTTCAATTGACCGGAAAGAGAAAAAAAACAATTCAAAAGATGACAGTTTTGATTCAAGGAAATCCACAATAAAAATTTAAAAATTATAACAATATATGCATATATGAGATAAATTAATCACTTTCACATTATATTTTTACTTCAGTCAAATATTGGTCACAAATGGGTTATCACAATAATATAACAAATCAATTACGTAAACTATTGAACAGATCCATGGGGTTGTACTTCGAGTAGTAATTCTGAGTAGTCCTCTGCATCAATTGTTGAAAACAATCTGAAAACCGTGTCCAGCACCCTGTCCTCCAGTATGTGATCCAATCCCGAATCCTCCAAAATGTTTGGGATAAAACTCATATCGTAGAGAGGCCAGCGGATTTACAGGTATCAACAATGGGATGAATATGTGATGCAAATGAGCTGGCAAATAAGCATGGTGCTTTATTCTGCCTGAAAAAATGTTTTCCATTAGAAATTGTTTCATTCGAAAAACTTCGAATAGCATTTATTCCTGTGTAGTATCAGGCCAATGCAAATAATCTTTGAAGAGGAAAAATTAACAACAGTTATACACTGTGTCCAAGATAAGAATGAACAGCATATCCGAAACGGTAAGTGATACGAAGTCGATTGAATTAGAGAAAAATAGTGCATTTGTGTGCCTACTAATATGCCATTTAAAAAGTTTCAATATTTCGAGTGTCATGGCCACTTTTTAAGGACTACATGATAACGTAAGCAGAATTTCTCTGCGACGTTTTGTCTTTTAGAAAACATCATCAATTTTGTATTTTTATATGGGCCGAAACTGAAGTATAACCTGTATACGACTCCATTTTTCATTGTGAATACAGCAACGTATCACACAATATGATTTCAAATCCATTTCTCGCGCAAAATGAAAAGTGATTACTTAACCTGCTTTTTTCAATTTTAGATAGTACGCGCTGGAAAAAATTTCATAATTTGATACATGAAGTAAATTGATAATAGATTTTCACTTATCACTCGCCGGAATTTCTAATATTATAGGAAATAAACAGAAACTCATAAAAAGTGTTCAAATAACCCGCTGTTATTTTCCAAGAACAACTTTAGTTTACATATTTGGAACAATATTGTTAAAGGATGCGGTAACCAATCTTAGCAAATCTTCATTTTGAAAAGTATGAGGGTACACTTGATTCTTGATATATCTCCAAAGGAAAAAGTCTAGTGAGGTAAGGTCGGGGGACCTTGCAGGCCAGGATGTATCACTATAGTAGGTACCACTGTCCTGGGAAGCGACGATTCAAGTGATCA